ATTTATATCCAGTCAACCAGAGTTACTGAAAAATAATTAAGATTGTTCCAAACAGAAAATATATCAGATTAAACTTCCTTTGGGAAAATGCCTCGCTGCCTGCTCTGAGTAAACACATCACCATTATTAACTCGTGGATCTTGTTTGTCTGTTCTTTCTGTGTATTGAAGAAGAGAGTGCCAGGTGCAGCTCCCCACCTTATTGTTTCCTTCCCCTTTTATATTTTCATCATGGATGTATTAAGGCAGTGGCTGAAGTCCACAGTACACACTGTTATGCTGTGCTGGCCCTTCTGAATTACAGACAGATTGCTGTCCTGGAGGGATTTCTAAACTTTCATTGCAGCATTTCTAGATTTCAGCTTTGGCCACTGGATAAGAAAATATGTCTGGTGCAATGAAGCTGAAGAGAAATCAAATTTTTCTGAAATTAGGGTTATCCTATTTCTGTGGTAGTATTTCTATGCAGAAAGAATTCTTCAGGGTATCTTCAAATCTTCGCTGCAGTGTGGCTTGGATGTCAATGCTTGCAATGAAAATCTGTCACATTAGCGGATGCTCACCTCCTGCTTGCATGATTCCCAGTAGTTTTGTGATGAGTTATCTTGCAGAGTTGTGTGGGATTTTAATATAGTAATCTGTACAGTAATCTGTACATTAACAGGAGTGTGTCATGCCAGGGCTAAACCATCCTGGCCAAAACAGGAGCCGCAAGTCCCAGTGCATTAAATTCAGTAAATTTCAAAATTATGTAAACATAATATATTGAATCAGCTCAGATATCTAGTCTATTAGGCAGAGTTATTTTCTCCTCAGTCTTGACATCAAACCTGAGTACAACTAAATCCACACCTTGAAAAATATGCTGTAACATTGTAAAAAAACTTGTAAAACTAGACTAAGTGTACAAGTAAGGATTTTTATTTTTGGACTGGGGAGAGGCAATCAGGTTTGGCAGGCTTTCAGTCAAAGCTGGAATATGCAGAGTGTCTCAAACGTGAGCTTCCAAAGGCCTCTGTAGAGTGGCAGGAAAGCTGTGCTGGGTTTCATTTCTCTTTGAGCATGCATCAAGATTAGATGTCAATGAATGTTGCTGGCTTTGTAAGATTACTGGATTAGTAGTGATTTAGCTTGTTTTACCATACATCTTATTTCCTGATCAATGTGACTTTAGTTTTAAACAATTTTGGCATTCACTGCTGTTTCACAATTTATACAACTATGAATTTCAGTAGTGATTTTCAGCATTTTCCCCGTGGTTTCTGGAACAACATCCAGAAATGCCTACTCTGCAACAACATTTTTGGTTTGAAATTGGCAATAATACCCTTTTCTAAGCCAGAAAATTACCATTTCACATTTGAATTGAAGGCTGCCACGTACTTTTAGTGGAGAAGGCACAACCATTTAATTTATCCTCTATATGGGAGAAGTAAGAGCAAGCTGTGGTGCTCTTTAAGGCAAAATATATTTTCACTAGTGAAGACCTATAATTTGTCATATGTAATTTTCCTCGTTTGTGTACTTTGTTTATGTCTGTTAGCATAAGAGTCCTAAATGACTCAAGCTGTCTGATCTCCCCCCTTACTCAGTGTCTAGGAAGATGGGCCAGTGATGCATAAAACCAACTGGTCACCTGGGAAAGGTGGCTCTTTTTTCAGCAAGGAAATTGTGAGGGCTATATGGAAAGTGATGAAAGTGTTCTTTACAGCCATTACCTATGCAAAAAACCCTAAATGTGTGTGTCTTCAGAAAAAGACTGATTGCTCTGGACTCCTACCACCAGGAAACAGTCACTTTCCTGCCTGTGGATTTTCTGTTCTTTCCAGCGCTAAGAATTCTCTTAGGTGGATCTGCTTGACTTTGTGTGTGCAAACCTATTGATAGCAGGAGAGGGAAAGCTAATCCCAACTGAATTTCAGTCACCTTTGCCTTCTGGAATATATAGAATTTCCCTTGAAGTTTTTACAGAGTCTGCAGTCGCACAAAACAGACCTACTGGCTCCTTTGATATTTTTAAGCCTCTGCTTCATCAATTGTGCAGGCTTTTGGTTTATTTCCAAGTTCAGTCCAACATTCTGGTTTTGATCTGGAGACCCTGATGGTATTTTTGATCTTTTATCTTTCAATATCTTTGTTTCCTTGTGTTTTCCTAGTGGTGAAGTTGGAGAGAAATAGGAGAAAAATTATTATTTCAGGGTAAAGATTGCAGTGAGGACACGGGGGGATTTTTATATTCTGGGGCACTTGGATGGTCTGACAGATCTGGAGCTTCATTTCAGGAAATGCTACTATATCTTTTCTGTTAAATGCCAAATAGTGAAGTTGTGGCTATTTTAAACACACGGATGCTAAAAGATGTTGGAGTGAAGGTTTCTGTTTTATGGAATAGGCGGAAGAATAGTGGAGTAGATGGGCTTTGTGTGGATTCTCAGAAGAGCAAATCTTTTAGTTTGTGAACAGCAGGAAAAGTGGAAATCACATTATCCAGGGTGGCTCAGTCAGTTGCTAGTTAAATGATGAAAGTTTCACAGATAAATTTGTATTTTTCTATAAATGGTGTTGAGAAGAATAAAAAAGGTGCTTCCATTTGTTCAAGGAGTTATTTCCAGATTGCTTTTATACTTTATGTGTATATTTAGTTATATGGGGGGGAGTAATTTATACTTGGGGGGAGCTTGTACTTAAAGCTAATTTTGAGGGTGGGTGCTAGTGCTGTTAATTCATTTTTCTGAGGTAGATTTGAAGTGTTGGGGTTTATTTAGTGTATAAACGCAATCAAGGTAAATCTGTATCTTTAAATAGAAGCAGATTCTGACTACTAAATGAAAGTCATGCTTTACCTTCTATAGTCTAAAGGTTTTATTTGGCCTTCCGTGGGAATGAAAGAGCAATGTGTTTGTTCCTTGTCCCAAATTTCAATATACTGAGTGGCCTTTGATTCCATGAAAGAGAAAATTGCATGTGGTGGTCTTACCTAACTCAGCTTCTGATACCCATTTTTTAATTGAGTTCCCAGCTAAATATATGCTTTCAAGGGTTATTAAGATTTGTAAGGATGACAGGAAGGCTGCTCAGTTCCAAGATAATAAAGTCATATAGTGCTATTGAAGATGAATATATGAACAATGTCCTTTTAGAGGTAATATGTCTTTTTCTTGATATTATTTTTTTTACTTATAAAAATAGAAAATTTAAAAAATTGAATTCGTACACTTTCTTCTCTGAGTTCCCATATATGCACATAGAAACACAGAACCTGCACTTGGCAATTCCTTTGATTTTGCTCTCTCTTCACTTCTGTGTTTGCTTCCCCCTCTTATTCCTGCCCCTCAGAACTCAAAAATGTTTGTATCAAGGTATTATTCCTAGGCAGGAGTTTCAAGGGTATGATACTGCTATTGTTAGAGCCGTGCTAGAAAAGAAATGCCGAGCTGGGAAAGAAGCACAGTAAGGACTTGATTGATCTCCCATAGGTCTTCCATTGAAGATTCTCATTATCTTGTACAGACTTTTGTTCATCTTGTGCTGTGTTGTAGCCTCAGTGACTGCAGGGTAGAAATTCAACTGCTTCGCTTTAGTGCATGGCGTGTGGATTATTGAATCAAAAATGTGACAGTTATGCATTTGCTATTCAGGAAAAGAAAAAAGGAAAAAAGGAAAACCTTCATCAATTTAAAATTTTTATGAGCGAAATAATGAGATATCATGAAAACAAGAACAAGAGCTCTTGTTTCCAGTCAAGATAAAATGGGGTAAAACCACCTAATTTTTTTTTTTATGCTAAAGGATGAAACAGTTTTATGCTAAAGGATGAAACAGTCTTGAAACCACAATTTCTCTACGTGTGTGTTAGCGTGCATGAAGTAGTAATTCCATTGATATAGACTTCTTTATTGAGATATACAGGCACTCAGATAATCTTTTTCAATAATTTGGAGAATTTATGTGTATCTTCCATGAAGTTCTGTCGTGCTTCTTGTATGAAAGCACTGACTGAAGCTGCAGCGCGGCGAGATGACACCACTGAAAAGTGCTGCAGCTGGGGGAAGGGGCAGCTCTTTATAAAGACACTTCTGTGGGAATACGCCTGAAGAAAACCCCCAGCCCTGTGAAGTAATTAGCGATGGCCGCGCGCGCGTTAATTGGCCGAGCCCGCCCTCAGGGCCCCTGCAAGGCGGGGGAGCGGCGCCCCCTGCCGGCCCCGCCCGGGCCCGCCGCGGGGATGGGGGACACGGGCCGAGGGGGGACACGGGGAGCTGCTTTTTTGGGAGCGAGTCGCGGTGCCAGGCCTGCCCAGGGCTTCTGGGTGAGGACGTGGCCTCCCCTAAAAGTTGGTTCAACCATCTTTGAAATAACTGGGAGTCTTTCCGGCAACTTTGAGCGTGCTCTGGGTCCGGCCCGCAAATTCTTGAGACTTCTAGGATTTTGAGGCTTATGTCTAAATACAGAAACCTTTTTTTTCCCGAGAATATTAAACTTTTTATCTTCTGTCTGTTGCCATAAATAGGCAAAAAATGCAAATAAATGGTATCTAAATGTACATAAATGTACACAAATATATATAGTATATGTACATACTGTATGTATAGCATACATAAAGGATATATATAAATGTATACAAAGTGTATATAACAAAAATAGTCTTACTTTATATTATAAATACTAGATTGGCAAAACTAGTATTATAAATACTAGATTGGCAGTAAAATATTCTTTATCTACTTGGTCAGATTTTATACAATTAGGTGTAGTTCTATTTTTTCACCACTGATACATGTTATTTCTCCCAGAAATCCATCAATAAAACCACCTCCTCTGTTTTCACTCTTCTCTTCTTCTGCGTTGTCACACTCTGGTCACAGTTTTGAAACTGCAGAACTTCATCACTTAGATAGGTGCAGTAGTCCTCATTAATATACAAGTATAATTTATTTTTCTGTAGTTTATTTTAAAATGAATATGTTTTTAATATTTTTTTTCCTTTCTTTCAAAATTTAGGTGGAGAACAGGCCAAAGTATTATGGAAGAGAGTAAGTATTTTCCTCTTTTATATATTTGTTGGGTGTATCCAAAAGTTATTGTTCTAGAACTAAAAAAGAAAGACACAATGGAGGTCTAATAAAATATTTAATTTTACCTTTCACTTCAACTAGGAGCCAAATATATTGAAAGCCTAATGATTTAGCTATGTTTCAGTCCAGCACTGCTGCTCACAATCCATGGATTATGCTGCTGTGTGAGCCTGCATGTTTATTTTGCTTTTCTCATGAGAGTTTGGGAAAAGAAATATTGTCTGAGGTACTTCATCCTTTTTTGGTTCTGGTTGTCGCTTATACGTCCCAGTGGTCCTGCAATGGCCTAGGGAGGAGAGAAGCACGTGTCTCTCTCACTGCCTTTTTGTGTATGTTCCTATGCTTTCCCCATCCTACACGGCTGTGGAAGTGTGTGTGTATCCTACTGCATGTGTAAATGCTGTTCTCCCTGCTGAAGTTATGAGGTTCAAAATACCCAAAGAAGAGGTGTATTTTTATTGTAAGGAATATAACAAAGCACTAGAGTATAATTCCTTTGTGCTCAACAGTCTTCTTGCCCCTAAATAGCTTGGAAGGGGCTGGGTCATGCATTGCATGGAGATTTGGGCTGGTGAAGTTGAGGGGCATAGCCACCGCAGCAGCCACCCAGACCTGGCATTTGGCCTTTACTAATCTGCTGAGACCCCAGCCCTTATCTCTTACTTAGATCCCATGTTCTACTTTTCCTCCCATCCCAGACCATCTGTGTTTAATGATCCTTTTCTACCACCAGAAACCTCAAGAGCCAGTAGCTTTGCCCCTAATTACCGAAGTTTCATTTTTTAAATATTGTCTTTAACAGCAAGGAATTCAGATCTAGCCACTGGAGTACAACAGAGCTGAAGACAGTACCTAGTTGAGTAACACATCACATTTCCTACAGCAGGACTTGTAAAACCATTGCTGGAGTCTCTTATCCAGGGACCTGCCTGGGTTTGTGGAGCAGCAGGGCTAGCGGAAACTGTAAGATGTCACCTTGGTGAACCTGCCCACACGAGATCACATTAGTTGTTATCATACAGAAAGAAGCACTGGGGAAGTCCTATAAAAACAATTGACTCAGTGTTTAGTGGTGCTTGGAAAGAGAAAAAGGAATTTTTAGGTAAAGAAACTGAAACAAAAATATTACTATATAAATCTGTGATGTGGCTGCATTTTAAATAGGGCATATAGTTCTAGTGCCTCTCTACCCCTTCCTCCTCCATCCTTTTTACAAAGGTTGTAGAAGAAATGAAAGGTATGGCGAAGGACAACAGTGGTGGAGTAAAGGGATGCAACTAGGGATGGCAGCTCTTACCACATATAAAAATGAACAGGTCTTCCTCAGTGAGTGTCCAAGAGAGGGACATGCACAGTGTCCTTCTCAAGTTCATTGCCATGGGCAGCTGCAGAGACCAAAAGCACCAAGATCTTAACGGGCTTACAAGTGAGATTCTCAGATTCATGAAGGGTAAGGTCACAACTGATCAGTCACAATTGTGGCTAAACCAGTGATGGATGGACAGGGATGTGAAGTGAAAGAAATATGTCACTGCTTCCTACAGTCCTTCTGTAAGCATTTCTTGTCAGCTGCTGTCAGAAGCAGGCATCTGAGTTCAGGGGAACTTGTGCCCTGTACAAGCTGTTTTCATGCTCTTAAAAAAATGTACTAAAATATCCATAAGAAAGCTTGGATTACCCAGTGCTTACCACCCATGGATAAAGAAATTTCACAGGTGCCCCAAGTATTTGTGAAATGGATCACAGGGAGAGCTTTTGTCAAAATATCTAACCTACAGCCTGGTATGTCTTATAATACATTTCTTTTGGGGAATAGCTTATGCTCATTATTTGTAATTAGAATTATGAATTGCCTTAAGTTTACTCGTAAAGTCATGCTTAAATTATGTCATTTAGGGGATGATCATTTCAATTTGGATGGACCAGTGAGTGTGTTCCCCACCTGTACAGACAGAAAAGATTAATCAATTTACGCTACTTTTAATAAAAAGTCACTCTGGAAAGGTCACCTAAACCTAATATTTTCAACATGTATTAGTTATGAAAAGACAACATAAAGAGGATGGAACAACAATTGCATTTACATCCAACATGTTTTTCTTCCCTTTCACTTCCTCCCCAGAGGCAGTGTTAGGGATGTGCCACTTCATATGTATTGTCAGAAAAGAGAAAATGCTGAAGGCCAGTACCTTTTAGTGCTTTTTTTTCAAACAGCAGCAAAAATAGAAACTTTCAAAACTGCTGAAGAGACCCTCAGAGACTTATCAGCTAGCAAAATGTGCGTAGGAGTTAAAACTCAAACTGCTGTCAAGACTGCATTTATACTGATGGAGAAATCACTGCTAAATATTGATTATCATAAGGTTAATTGTACATCCTAGGCCCTCTTTCTTTCTTAAAATAGCAATGACAAAAGAATCAAAGAAGTATTGCTTTTCTCCAACACTGAATGAGGACCTCATTGGAATGAAGAAAACAGTATTTTTCTCAGTACTATTCTGTACCTTCTTCCACTTTAATATATGCAGAATGGAATTTTGAATAATTGTTTCCATTTTTGTCTCAGTTTCCCTTACAAATTTGAGGAAGCATTGTTAATATAAAAATTAAGCAAACCGATAATAAGAAATACCTATAATTTTAATTATATTTAAATATTTATGTATATATATAAAAAAATAACTACGTACTTAAATATAATAATTCAATGTTTTAAAAATGCCCTTGTGCCTAGTTTACAATTCTGTTGTAAGACCTCTAGAAAGGAAACAAGGAATAGGGGTGTAGACTGGTAGAAGAGAAAAGTTGTGAAAAGACAGGGCATTTACAGAAAATAGTCTTTGGGTGCTGTTGATTGTTATATTGACTGAAACTGCATATAGAGTGTAATTTTTGTTCTGCCTCTGTGCTGAACTTGTCCAGGCTTGTCCAGGCTGGATGACTGTTCTGCTGCTTGGACACTCTCCTGATGGCTTGGATCATGATGCTCTAGAGTGCTGAAGTTTTCGAATGGTTTCTGGGGTGGAGGAGGAGGTGTTTCTGGTTGGATTGTTGTGTAAGTCACCGGAATGTCTTCCCTTAGGTTTCACGGGATCATTTCTCGGGAGCAAGCAGATGAAATACTTGCTGGCGTAGAAGGAGCATATATTCTTAGAGAAAGCCAGCGGCAACCCGGCTGCTATACTCTTGCTCTCAGGTAAATGGTGTTTTAATAGAGGCTTACAGTTCACATGTAAATGTGTTTAATGGAGGGAATTATATCAGCTTGTTGTAGAAATACATTGTGAAGCATGGAATGCTGCTGCTCAAAGAAGTAAGAGTCTGTTATTAAACTGAATGAAAAATTCAGTTGTAACCCTAGCTACAAACTCACTGCCCCTCACAGGTGCATATCCTTGAAAATACATCCATTCCTTGCTTAGCTGTGTCATTCAAAACCTGCCCGCGCAAGTCTTAAAGACACTGTGGGTTAGTGGCAAGAGGACAAGATACTCAGTTGGGTTTTAACAAATCAAACTCATTGGCAATAGTTTGCCAATTTTTATAGCATTATTACTTCTGTGAGACATGAACAAACTAAAAGTCTGCATTTTTACCCTTCTGCTGGTAAACTAGGAGGAAAAATCCTTTAAGGACTTACCCCAAGTGTCTGTGATACAGTGCTGAAATCATGCTTAAAATTTGTATTGATGTGCAGATGGTAAAGCTGGAAAAGCTAGTGAGTCATGTCAACTAAAAAGTGGTGTAAATTAAAACCAACTTCTGTCAGCTGAAAAAGAACAAACACAATTTTTTAGGGTTTTGGAGAGAGATTTCAAAATAAAATGTTGAAAAATATACTAAAGGATGAGAATTGTGGCAAAATGCCTATTGTTTTGATGCAACAGCATGATTTCTAAGCCCATCTGGATAATAATTTGTAGAATCAAAAACTGAATTTGATTATAAATTAGGAATTCATATGAAAAATGTGGGTGAAAAATAAGAGACTTAAACACTTTGATTTGAATTCCTAATAAAGTATGCAGAGACATGCAGTTTTGATGCAATATAAGGACCGTTTAACCCAATATCATATCTTTGAATCCTTTAAGCAATAGTGGGATTCCAACCTCAGTGTTGCAAACTGAATGTGCTACTACAGCACTCTGATTTTTAAAACACTTTAAAAAAACCCCAATAGATTACACCTGCCATAAATAGGACCAAAGTTTTCCCACATAACTTTAGGTATTTAATTGGGCCCTGAATTAGGAGCTTGGTGTCCCTAGCTTCCTCAGAGAGCGTGATTCAGGCCCTTAGAATTTGAATTACTTGCTAGAGATGCCCATCTCTCTTCATTGAGTGTAAATATGCCCATGGTGGTTAAGCATGGGCTTTCTGCACCTCAAAAATGATTCAGGATGGAAAAGCCTTTAATACAGTTATGCATCCCAGTGTAGGGCCTTGTCAGTGCAAAATGCCTTTTCAATTGCTGTGCTAGTTCCCATAGGAGTTAGATTTAATCACGTACATCTGGGTCACGTAGCTTGTTGAGGAGACTTGGCCTCAGCTCTGTGGTCCAGTCCATGTGCTGCAGTCAAGTTTGGGTTCAAACTTGGGTTGGTCTCTCCACAGAGATCCAGTTGCAGCTGTGTGCATGTTCCATATGTAATCCAGACATATAGGTTTGTCAGTGAAATCATCTCCTGAGTGTTTTGCCAGTCTGAATTCTCTCTCTCTTTCTTCTCTCCCTCCACTTTTTTTTTGGTGTTTGCAGATTTGGTAATCAGACCCTAAACTACAGGTTGTTCTATGATGGGAAGCACTTTGTTGGGGAAAAAAGGTTCGAATCAATCCACGATCTGGTTACAGATGGCTTGATAACATTGTATATAGAAACAAAGGCTTCTGAGTATATTTCCAAAATGACAACAAACCCCATATATGAGCACATTGGATATGCCACTTTGCTTAGAGA